AATTGGTTTCCCCTTTCCACCTCACCCTCCCAGTATCGCCACTCTCACCACTGGTCCTGCAGGGATCATCTGTCCTGGATTCCCTTTCCATTTCCTATCTGTACCAGTGTACATCCTCTGGTCTAGCTGGATTTGTACGGTAGAATTGGGATCATGATAGTGGGGTGGGAGGAAGCATTGAAGAACTAGGGGAAAGTTGTATGTTTCATCGTTGTACCCCAGGTATTGCCTGACTATCTGCCTTTCTGTCTATCTAGCTATCTCACAGGCACTTAAGAAAAAACCTGGGGTTGGGACTTTGGAGAAGTACCTGGGGGAGGAAGAACTTGATTGGCAAAAAAACAAAAAAAAATCCCTCATTATTTGTATGACAATACAGTATAGAATCCTTGCTGTTTGTGTCTCTTATGGAATGGGCACATTCCAAGAAACAAGCACTTGTCCTCATGCCTGAAGAGAGACCTGAAGAGAGTTTTAGATAATGTCCCTTCCAGGAAAGGCAAGGTGGCCCTGGACATGCTGGCTTTTCGGCGCTCAGGGTGTGGAGTAAGGCTGCTCACCCTGAGAGGGTTGCCCAACAGCCAGCTGATTTCTCCTCAGCGCAGTCCTGTGCCTCTGTTCAGACCTCATAGTTCCCTCACACCCTGGGGCCCATTTTCGACGGCTTCCTCATGTTTTTGGTTTCTCAGTATCCTGGGACGTCTTCCCTCCATTTTACTGTGGCCATCCTCTCGAGTTGCACACTGCCTTGTAATCAGATGGTGTAGGCCTTGTAGGTATTTGCTTTTACTGCAAGCTGGCACCAGGTATGAGTTAAAAATGATCCCCGATATTGAAACTGTCTGTGGAGTAAAAGTCCCTTCTTTTCAGACAGGTGTCTTTCCCTCATGAGATGGATCATCTTTGAGCATGTGAAAGAAGAGTGAGCCACCCAAGGACTGATTCTCAGGATGATTAGAATGTGTGGTGGCTTCCTTTAGATAGGTTTCAAAGGCCTGGACCCATTAGCTTTTCCCGAGTAAGGCTCTGAGCAATATGTCCTGGTGCTGTGTGTAGAATGGGGAAGGGCCTGTTTCCCTGCGCCTCTGCTTTCAGGGTGTAGCTTCTCGGATGTGACTCAGGGTGGGTCCCGCCTCATTTTCCACATTTACCCGTTACTCATCACGGTAGAGTTGAATATGAATTCTCCTCTGCTTTGGATTGGTTCAAGTTAAACTGTAGGTATGCTTTGACGTGAACGGACAGAACACCATAGTCCTTTCTTCCTGACCCCAACAGGTAAAGTGAACGGGTTCCGTTCCCTCTGGCTCCTGTCTCTGGAACCTTCCTGCGGCATCATGAGGACTGTTGGCTCCCAGGCCTTGCTGGATCACATTCTCTCATGTTCTTTCTAGGCAACCAAGAATCCCTTCTACCTCCATGTAGGAATGGACATCCTGCAGAGTCTGGAAAAGCACACAAAAGCCAAGTCAGTTTTCTGAGTTCTTCCCTTTTTCCTGGCCCCTAGATTTAGGTAGAAGATTACTCTCTTCTGGGGGAAGATTATTCTGTTTGATATTTTAATTTTTAGAGTAGGCCACTAATGTTTACTTCAATAGGGAAATCAAACTTTTTGGTTTAGTAAAACATTTCTTTTGTAGTGGGAATTGCTTTTTATTTCCTTCACATAATTCCTATAAGGTTCCAGCAGACTGTGTGTTCTCTAGTTGTACAAATGGTACCCAACAAGGACTTTTGGGAGTAGAGAAAATACTGTATTATTTCACAGATCAAGCACCGCCTATACATGCAACACATGGAAATCATGAGATTCCACACATGGAAAGCATGAGATTATGTCAAACAGTTCTGGCCAGTGCCATTTTCAAAAGAAAATGAGGTATAACACTCAGGTTATTTGCATCAAAATACAGAATGGAATTAGAATATTATTCTAATCTCTACATACAAAGATAATCATAGTATTCAAGTATATATGCAAAATAGGTACATTTGTAGGTATATGTCTATGTGTAAAACATAAATACTTGTGCTTTATACATATAAACACATATAAATATTTAAAGTATGTATACTTGAATGTTGACTGTGATCTATATATAAAAACATGAAGAAGCCCTTGTAGTGCTGTGGGTTGACCTTAAGGTCCGCAGTTCAAACCCACCAGCCACTTTAAGGGAGAAAAGTGAG